CCTCTCTCCTTCACTGAGAACAGGGTTAAAGTACACACACAGAACCTTGGGCATGGCACTGAGGGGCCTGGTGCCTAGTGTTTCTTTTCCTGTGGAATTGCCCTGCCTTCCTGTTCTGGGGGTGCCTGATGTCACTGCTGCACACTGCAGCTACTTCAGTTGCCATGGACTTGGAAACCATCCACACACTCCTTTGAATTGCACATAAAGTGAGAGCAGTGTGCACTGAGTTTGGGTTTCATGTGACTTTGTTCTGTAAGCCTGAGGCACAGATCACAGTTCTCACATGCAGGGAGCCCTGGCAAGAGCCTGTGGGTGTCAGTCATGGACATGGGTCATGGGAGAGTTAGTGGGCATTGTCAAACTTACGAGCTTCCAGCTGTCTGCTGGCTGGCAGGACCCACTTATGAGTCCCTGTGAGGAGTCCTTGTGCCCAAGATGCTGGTTCTTCTGTGCCTGGGTGGAAGCCCAGCCTAGGAAGGGTGTGTGGTGCTGTGATGTTTCCTTCCATGGCACCAGTGAGGGGCCTCTGTCCTTTGTGTCCACTTTACCATTTCTTCAGTCAGCAGTCCTCCCACCTCCCTGGCACTGGCTGTGCCAAACACTGGTCATGCCCGCCCCCCTTCACGCATCCTTCCTTGGCCTGTGCCAGGCCCCTTTTTGAGTACAGGGGACACATGTGAACAGGACTCAGTCCTGCCCTGCACTCAGGGACCCTCTTTTGGAGGTGAAATGGACAGTGGAGAAGTGAACAATTCACCAGGCAAGGGGGTTGCTATGAGGGAAAGATCTAGAAAGAGCATAGAGAGAAAAGTATAGGTGACGATGTGCTGAAGAGAGCAGGGGCCAAGGAGGTGGGAGGCCTCTTTTTATTTACTTTTATTAGGATATATTCGTTGTACAGGGGGGATTCATAGTGACTGTTCCAATTCGACTTATATTGTACATTGGTTAGATCGCACCCACCCTCTCTCCCCCTCAACCCCCTCCCTCTTCCCTTAAAGCACTTGCTAGAGGTTTCTGTGTTCTATTTCATATAAATATATGAAACCATCCACCATATATCCTCTCACCTTCATCCCTTCATTCACCCCCCCAGCCACAAGTACTCCCCAAACTATACCTATGTTACAGTCCTGTCTTTCATTATTAATATTTAAATTTATGTTCGAAGGGGTTTCTCTATGTATCCCCGCTGTGGGATTTTGGTCCATTCAGCCCCTTCCATTACTCTCCCTTACCTCTTTACCTCCCACCCCCCATTTTCAACAGTTGTCAGTACACATCCTTATATCCTCTACCTTCAGACATTGTTTTATATTACTGATGCTCTACCATTCTCTTTTCCTTCCCGTCTGTCCTCGAGTTCCACAGAGCAGTTCCACTATTACTAACATGTTCTACATATGAGTTTGTATAGGATCATGCTTGTCTTTGTGTATGTGTTTATCTTTTGGGTCTGTCTTCCACATATGGGAAAGACACGCAGCCTTTGTCTTTCTGAGCCTGGCCTACTACCCTTAACATGATGTCTGTGGGAGGCCTTTTGACAGTCTTGAGCTGAGACCAAAAAGATGAGAGCGGCAGGGGGGTGGAGAGCGGGGAGAAAGGTAGGGCAGGACCAACCCAGGCTGGGGGCACTGGGGTCAGAAGAGCCTGGCCTGGCCTGGCTGAGGAACATCCAGAGAGCAAGCTGGGGCGAGGAGGAAACAGAGGGTGGCAGTCTGTGTTCTAGCTGTGTGTGAGACCGTGGCAGAAACATGGTCCAGGGTCATTGTCATATCCAGTGGTCCTTATGAAGGCAGCTCTCATTGCTTGGTGGAGGATGAATTGAGGGGGAAGGAGTGGCAGTGGGGAGACCCACAAGTGGATGCTGTCCCAGTCCCTGGGAGGCCTCAGAGGCTCTGTGCCCCATGCACACAGTGTTTACTGCATAAGCATTTCACATAGGTGTGGGTGACTTGTTTTCAAGTCCAGGGCCACTGGGAAACAGCAATGTGAGTAGAAGGGGAAGGAAGGGCTGTCAGGCGTTGGTTACAACTGTGTGTTTGGAGGTGTGGTTTGCTGGGAAGGGTGAGAAGGGTCCATGCAGCTGGAGCCTGGAAGGGGTTTGCTGAGCTTGAGATGCTGATAGCCAAAGAGAGGTGCCATGAGCCAAACGGATGGATGAGTGTGGAGCCCTGTGCAGGGGATTGGGCCAGAAGTGGGGCAGACACTGCAGGTCGAAGCACTGCTTTTGAGGGCCTGTCAGGGTCCTGGTGCATCTCCTGTTCCCACATTCCATGTTGTCACATCTGCTGGAAACATATCACACATGCTGACTTCTGCCCAGCAGGCCAAGTTTCCCACTTGGTTCCCCGGACCTTCGCAGCCCTGTTGTCATTATTCTGTTTTCTGGAGGAGGAAACAAGGCTTGGAGGCCAAGAGGCAGGGAGGGACTTACACTGGGTCACACAGCCAGTAAGTGGGAGGATACGAGCTCACCCCTGGGCATCCAAGGGCCATGCTTCCTCCTCCTGGCTACAGCAACTCCACCTGCCACCTTCAAAACACTGTGCTAATACTGGCGGGCCAGTGTGTACTGTGCTGAGAGCCACAAAACTGGTTATTCCCATTTTGCACATAGAGACCTGGTGCTCAGAGTCTTGCTGAGGTCACACAGCTAGTGAGCAGACACCCAGGTTGTGTCCCTTATCTGCTGCCGTGTTCTCGTGTCTCTCTGGAGACACAGCTGGAGCACCAACCTGTTCCAGACACTCAGTGGCTCAGGTCCAGGCAGACCCTGGGATCTCTGACCACCCAAGAAAGTCTTAGTCCTCGGTTCATGTATGAACCTCGCTTCCTTCCTCTGTGAAATGGGTGTAAAACCCACCTCCAGGGCTGCTGGGGGATCCAGAGGGAAATCTGAGAAAGTATGTGGGAATTAGAAAGGCCATGTGAGTGTCAGCTTCTGTTGTCCTCCATGACGCCATGCAGAGTGCCCAGGGTGGTGAGCAGGCCCTTCCTCTGCGGGTGTAAGCAAGGACACCCTGGGCCCCAGCAGAAAGCGTGCCCCGTAGTGGAAATGGCTGTGGGTGCTGCTGCCTCAGGAAGCCGAGGGTGTGACAGGTGGGAAAAGGAGCTGAGAGCCAGGAAGGCTGGGCAGGGGCGGTATACTCTGGCTTGATGGAGCTGGTTTTTGATGTTTAATAGACACACAGGCTGGTGACAGATTTGCCAAAGAGAAGCTGAAAGTGTTTCCTGTAAGTGAAATCTTAGAAGTACAATAAGATGGTTTGAGAGAGAGAGAGCAAGCACACATTCACAAATTTTTATTGCAATTATTATAATCGTTCTATTTTATTGTTAGCTATTGTTGTTAAGCTCTGACTGTACCTGATTTACAAATTAAACTTTATCACAGGCATATAGGAACAGGAAAAAAACACAGGGTCTCTGGAGTTCGTTACTATGTGCAGTTTCAGGCCCCCACTGGGGCTCTTGGGATGCTAAGGGGGGTATATGTTAGTACTTTGGACTGTGTTACTTTTGGGACAAGAGGTACCTGCCCACCATACATTGGTATCAACACTCCCCACCCCCCAGTTGCAACAACCCCAAAATGTCTTCACAGTCACTGCCACATGTACTTGCCCTGGTTGGGAACACTAATCCAAACCCCACTGTTTACAAGCCCTGAGGTGGACCCCGTCCCCATCTCTTAGGCAGAGCTGTCCAGGAACTCTGCTTTCCTCCCATTCTTCTGTCCAGAGAGGCAGATGGTGACAGTCACACAGGCTCTGTGTGCCTCCTTTTCCCCAACAGTGGCCACCTCAGCGGGTTCCATGGACAGGAATGTAGCTGGTGTATATAAAATTATATTAGCCTAGTCCCGGCATATAGTAAGCACCATATAGTCATTCTTTTTGCTACTGTTTTGTTTTTGAGACAGGGTCTCATTATGTAGTCCAGGCAAGCCTAGGACTTGCCATCCTCCTGCATCCGTCTCTTGAGTGCTGGGACTACAGGTGTGAACCACCACATTCGGTCATTTAGTCATTCTTACTCAACCAGTGTTTACTTTTGGTGTGCTCAGCTGAAGATGCAGCAGCAAACAAGCCAAGGCCCTTTGACCTTGAGCTCTTAGCACTCCTGAGGAAAGCAGACGCTTTATTCCTTGATTTCAGTTCAGTGTACTGAGTGCTGGGATGAAGAAACACAGGGATCAGTGGAAGCCACTGAAGAAGGGACCCCTCACCCAGAAAGTAGAGAAGGCAGGCGTCCTGGAGGCAGTGGGACTTGAGAGTGAGCCCGAGTCAGCTGGGTGGAGGAAGGGGAGGAAGAATGGGCAGGGTTACCTGTCTTTCAAATACATTTTTTAAAAGTTTTTCTGAAAAAACAGATCCTCTTTAGTGGACTGGTATAAAACATAGGGCCAAAGCATTTCAAGGGATCCTGGGTTCACACCTCTGTTGGGGGGTCCTGTGGCCCCACCAGATGCTGACACAGAAGTGCTTGGCACATGAGTCCCAGGATGGATGACGAGTATGGGGGTTCATGGTGTGGAGGGGACCTGCCCCCACCTGTCTCCACACAGGTGTGTGTACCTTAGCAGCAGAGAGCTCCCCAGACACTTTCCGGTGATGGGTGCTGAGGCCTGGAAGGTGGGAAAACCAGGGAGGTGGGTGGGAAACAGGATCAGAAGGGGCGAAGCTATTGTTGTGTGGGAAACAGGATCAGAAGGGGCGAAGCTATTGTTGTGACACAGCAGGCTCATCCTGGGCTTCTGCAGTCACCTCCAAGGGGGAAAGGACCTGGTGGGTTGAATATGGCAGGAGCTGGTTAAAGCTCCTGACCCATTGGCTGAAACCAGGCACCTGTCCTCTAGTGTCTAGAAGTGCCATTCTGCCCAGGCCTGGGAGGTGGTGGCCAGCATTAAAGACATCCCACCTTCCAGCAGTGTCATGGGCACAGGCTGGATTCCTGCTGACCTTGTGTGTGTCGTTCCTGTTCCCATGCAGCTACAGCCTCCGCCTGGCATCCCGGTGCCCTCCACCTGCAGCTCCGTACATCACCAGGCAGTGTAGGAAGGTCAAGGCCCCAGCCGCCACCCAGTTCCAGGGACCCTTCTTCAAAGAGTAGATGCTTCGCCTGTTCCCTGACAGGTAGGAGGTGGGAGGCTCTGGATTGAGGGGGCTGGGTGGGCATGGGTCTGGGGCAGGAGGGAAGGGGAGAGAGAAAAGGACATGATGACCTTGGGTGGGGGGGCGCTGGTCCAGGACCTGTGAGCTAGGCATTGGCTTGCCTTCAGGAGGGGACTTAGTAGCTGAGAGTGCAGACTCTGACCTCCAGGGTTCAAACCCCAGCCATGCCACTCACTGGCTGCGGGCCTCCAGTCACTTCATCTCTCTGAGCCTCAGTTTCCTCATGTGTGAAAATGGGGACCACAGTAGAGCATACGTCACAGGAAAATCATATCAAATGTATACACAGCATGCAGCATGGTGCCTGACATATTATGGAGTGCTTATTTCCATGATGTATTTGAAAATAAAAAATAGCACTAATGTATAAAATGTAGAACTTAGATGTATATTGAACCAAAATAGAGTGATGATAAAAACCTGGAATCATTCTGAGTTTTCCGCTGGTATAGACAGGGAAGGCAGGCTTTTTGTTCTGAGGCACCTCAGCCTCGCCAGTTCCCCATGAGCCGGCTTGGGCTTCCTGGTTGATGACACAGGATGACGGCATAGCTACTCACCAACAATCTTCCAAACATGGCAGTGACTGAAACCTGCTCCTTGTAATTTTATCTGGCTTGTCTTAAAGCTTTTCTTTGCGGGGGGGAGGTGGTGGTGGTGGCAGTGTTGAGGTTTGAACTCAGGACTTTACGCTCGCTCAGCAGGCACTCTGCCACTTGAGCCATACCCCTAGGCCTCTTTTACTTCAGTTATTTTTTCAGATAGGGTCTCATTTTTTGCCTGGGGCCAGCCTCAGACTGTGATCCTCCTATCTATGCCTCCCACATCCCTTGGATTATATAGGCATGAGCTAATGGGGTCTCGCTGACTTTTTGCCTAGGCTGGTCTCAAACTGTGATCCTCCTGAGTAGCTGGGATTATAGAGATGAGCTTCCATACCTGCCCCTTTTTTGCTCTATTTAAAATTTGCACTTATTCCAAACATACTATTTTTAATGATTTTTTTTGAAACATCTTATTATACCATTTACCTGTTGGCTCAGGCTGCCATCACAAAATACCACCAACTGGGCAACTTAAACAGGATGTTTGTTTCCTGACTATTCTGAAGGCTGGAAGTCTAAAGTCAAGACACAAGTGTGGGTAGCTTGCGGATGCCGCCACCTTACTGTGTTCTCACATACCGAGGGCAGGTGGAGGGCAGGCTCTCTGCTATCTCTTCTTAGAAGTGCACTAATGCCCCTGCATGACCTCATCTCACCCCTCTCGCCTTCCAACAGCCCATCTCCACACTGGGGCTTTGGCTTTAATAAAGGAATTATAGGGGACACAGTTCAGTCCATACCACTTTAACACAGTTGTAGAAAGATTTCAAAAAATGCTGTGGCAGATTTTAGCACAGGGAAGGTCATGCAGGTTAGCAGCCTCATTTTATAGGAGGGAAACTGAGGCACGAGGGGAAAGTGACAGAACTGGCATCAGAACTCGGGTCCCCTGACCTCTGGAGTAGACAATGGGCCTTAGGTGGCTGTGGCCCCTGATGCAGGACTGTACCTGCCATGAAAGGAGGACATTCTCCAAGAACCCATGGCCTCTGGCTGTTGTCCCCTGTTGTCTTGTTGGACTCAAGGCTCTCACCAGCTTACCAGGCTGCTGAAGGTGTCGAGGCGTGGCACAGGGAGCTTGGATCTACCATCCCCGCCTTCCAGAAGCTTCTCCCTGTACTGCATCTCAGATGGAGCTTTCTGTTCCCCTTCAGGTGTAGAGGAGATACTGCTTCCTGGACTAGCATGGGGCTTCTGCAGCACTTCCTGTCTCACTCCATCTCTGTCCTGTCCTCTGGCCAGTGGGCTTCTGCCCATGCAGCTTAGAGGAGAGGTTCAGGGAAGGCACCAGTGCCTGTCACTTGGCTAGCCACTGTCATGAGCTTCTCTCTGCTGTCACTGCTCCTTTGGCTGAGACCTTTGGTCTTGGAATCCTCCTTGGGCAGGTTCTTAATGCTTATCCTCTTTCTGGGAGCAGGGGGAGAGAAAGTCTCCCCTGCCTGTCTTCCTGCTGTGAGACCCATCCCTTCAGCTGCAGTCTGTCCAGTCTTCCCCCAACTGCAGTCATCAGTCCATCCTGCAGCCCTGCTGCTGAGCCCCTCTGGAAGGTAGCCCCCTTTGGTGGGGGACTGCCAAGGTGACTTCTTTTATGAATCCTGCTTTATCCACAGGACAGACACATTCACTGGCTGTGCCAGGCCGTGGGATGCAGCCTGATCTTCAGCTGTGCATCTGTGCGCTATGCAGGGCAGGGAGATGGATGCTGTGTAAGCAGCGTCCATGGTGCAGAGGTCCCTGTTGGGCAGGCACCCTGCTGCCCCACTGGCAGCCCTTCCCAGCCCCAGCAAGAGGTTTGGGGAGTTGGCATTGCCATAGATCATGGGTGTAGCTTAGCGAGTGGAGTCCTGGCTCCAGGCTTGGTAGCCACACCTTTAGTGGGTACCTCGCTTCTCTGGACTTCATTTCACTCACTTCATGATCATAACACCTGTCCTGTTATGAGAAGCGCTTAGGAAAGTCCTGTTTCTATAAACCTAATAATAGTAAAAGTAATGACTCATTATAACTTCTGTTCTTATGAATAAATAATCACATTATTTTTTACAGTATCCACAGTGGTTACCGTTGGCAATAGTAATGGTGACCAGGTCTACTGGCTGAACAACCTGGCCCTGTCCAGGTCCTCCCAGTGGAGTGGATGTTTTCACAAGCTCACCTGGACGCACTGTGCCATGCCTTGGTAACCACAACACACAGGCACAAGAGCGAGCCCAACAGGGTTCAAGTCCCTCCTCTACTGCTCATTGTCAGTCTGACCTTGAAAAAGTTTGTTCTTTCCAAGCCTCCATTTCTAACCTGTAACGTGAGAGTCTGTGCCACCTGCCACAAAGGCCATCGTGAGCCTTCAAATTGTCGTGCAACCATGTGGGAAAACTGGCAGTAGCCACCGCAGCTGCATGCATGGAGACCACGGCCCAGCAGCTCTTGGCCAGGGCTGCCTCTGCAGAAGTACGTGCACGTGTGCACCGCAGCACACATGGGAGCCTGTTTACACACACACGCCGGGCTCTAGCATTTCCATTTGCCAGAAACATGGGTTCCATGCATGTCTTCTAGATTCGCACATGAATGTCCTTGTGGCTTTACTCTAGCAGCAATAATGGCCCCAACTGGAAACTCCCAAGTTGTGCAGCAGCAGGGGACTGGAGGGACAGGTGTGGCATGGTCCTATAGCAGAATACATACTGGGGTGAGACAAGAGTCACAACCGCATACTCAGATTGGCCAGATCACACAGACATGTTAAGGACAGCTAGGTACTGATTGAGTCTGGAGAGTTAAGTTTAAAAAATAGGTAAAACCAGTCTAAGGTAATAGCAGTCATGATGGTGGCCATTATGGGGCCATTGTGGTAGAGAGAAGTGGTGGTTATCCTTAAAGAGGGCATGTATTAGGGCTAATGGGGGCTGGTCAGGTTGATGTAGTGCTTCTTCATCCAGTGCTGGTTAGCCATTGAGAAAACTCATCGGGCTGGGCCTTTCTCTGTGTTCATGGTATACTTTAGTAAATACTTCAGTTTAAAAGTTAAGAAGGATATGCCACGTATGGTGGATCACAGCTGTAATCCTAGCTATTCAGGAGGCAAAGATCAGGAGGATCATTGTTTGAAACCAGCATGGGCAAAAAGTCAGCGAGACCCTCATATCAACCACTAAAGCCAGGTGTGGTGGTGCACACCTGTTATCCCAGCTTCAGGGAAGGTGTAAATAGGGTTGCAGTCCAGACTAGCCCCAGGCAAAAATGCGAGAGCCTGTCTAAAAAGTAGCTAAAGTAAAAAGGGCTGGGGCATGGCTTATGTGGTAGAGCACCTCCCTAGCAAGCATAAGGGCCTGAGTTCAAACTCCAGCACTGCCAAAATATAAATGAATGAATGAATGAATAAAGATAATGCCTGCATGAACAGCCCATGGTAGATGTTAAGCTTATGGCATCATTGTTATTTTTGTTTTCTTCTTTTAGCACCTGAAGTGACCTGGAATCAGTGAAGCCAAAGGGACCAGCAGTCTGCCCTGCAGGGGATACCAACCTATCCCAGTGGTGTGAGCCTTCGTGAGAAAGAGAGAGTGTGTGTGCATGCGTGCGTGCGTGCGTGTGGTTGTGCTTGCAGATACATGCACGTGGTCTTCAAGCAGAGGTCCTGAACCCTGAGGAGCAGGAAGGTGGCTGACTCCCATTGTCCTCTGGGCTGATCCTTGGACGCGGTCTGGGCCCCTGCTCTGCAGCCCAGCCTTCCTGTCAGGGTGGGGCCTCACCTACTATGCAATTTTTCAAAAGCTCCTTGACCTGCTCTTTTGCTTCTTGAACTGTCTTTTGCCATTGCTGGGACTTTGGCCTGGCCCAGGGGGGTTGGCCCCAGGGGTCAGCCTTAGCCTGGCTGGAGGAAGGCCTTCAAGAGGCCAAGTTCCTCTTCAATACCATTCCCACCTCCACTGTCCCTCTCTCCCAGTGTCTCTGGGAATCAATAGCATATAGACCCACTGGGGCTGAGCCTGAATCCTTGGCCCTGGCACTTAGAAAACTCCCTTTCTTACTCAAGCAACCCGAGCTGCCAGCTTTTGGGTCATTTCCACATTGACAATTCTAGTTGGTCCATTGCTCTTGAGTCTGAGCAGAGAAGCCGCAAAGCGGGTGCACACAGGAGAAAGATGTCATCCCCACTCAGATCTGCTTCCTCTCCGGGAACAAGCAGTGAATGGGGTCCTATGTGGGGAAGGGGGCTCTTCTTTCCCTTGCTTGGTGGGACCAGCTACACCTTTAGTATCTGAACTTCTCAAATTAGCTGCAAATGGAAACAAAAATAAAAGGGAAAACCGAAAATAAAATAAGGTTTAAAAAGCACAGGGTGAAGAAAGAGAGACTTCCAGAGGCCATGAACTGCCTGCCATCAGGGGATGACAGGACTGAACCCTGCTCTCTGGCCAATAGTCCGTGGCTCAGAGAAACAGGTGACTGAGCTTGGAGTTTGGACCTGGGTCAGTGAGGTTCTTGGGTTTTGTGCCTTTGGGGCGAACCCCAGGCAAGGATACCTGAGACCACTTGGTGCTGTCTTCTCAGCTCTGTGTCAGTTGTGACATGTCACATCCAAAGTGGAAGGACAGACGATGGAACGTGGGAGAGTTGTCACGCATAACACGCATAAAGGGATTTCTCTTTCAGGGCGACTACGGTTGAACTTGCAACTCTGTAAATATGTATGTAGACACTTTTAAAGCACGTATTTATGTTCCGTACTGTAAATGCCCCATTTTTAAAGTTTTATAATGTGTGTTATTTAATTAATCAGTCAGCTGGCTGCAGGATGGGGGAGAAGAGTTGTGTGAGATCCTCACATGGGCAGAAAAATGTTGATCATTGACCGACGTCATGGTTTTCCTACTTCTCACCCAGCTAAAATCCATTGTTTGTTTTTAATTCTCATGAACTGGAATCGTGCACACCCTACAACCCTCACAAGCATGAAAGATCATGGCTGTTCCTTACCCTAATTTTTGTTTCATAACGGTTCACAATCACAAACTGTACCCCAGCCTCTCAGCTCAGGGGTTTCCCCTTCCAGCAGGGAGGATCACTCACAAACCCAAAGCCTTGGAAGTCACCTTCAGCCAATGGAAGAACCATGGGCCCCACTGCTGGGCTTTGCGGGGCTTGCTGTCTTTGCATGTGCACACATGCTGGTCACCTTTCTGCACTCCTGGACTGTCAGGAAAACTGATCCACTACTGCAGGGGAGGAAGAGGTTTTGCAGAGAGGTGCTTCCCACTCAGCACAGGTCCTCCAGCATGGGTCTGGGTCACAGGAGATGAGGTTCTGGATCGCCCATGTGAAGGAAGCAGACAATAAAAGTGTGGAGAACCATTGTAAGAGCAGGTGTGGGTATGACCATTTTGGTTTCCTGGTTTTTTCTCCCGTGTGTGGTTCCTGAGCTGGTGGCAGGGGTGGGACAGGCTTTGGGGAGGCCCAGTGTGGGGGAGATTCTACCAGCAAGCCAGGCTTCTCTGCCTTCGGGTCACTTGCCCACTTGCCAGACCATAAGGTAAGCCATTTCACTAAGACTAGAAAGGTGACTGCAAAAGGTGTCTTCTTTAAGCAGCTTTATGCAGGTCAAATTCATACACAGTTTACCACATGAGTGTAGAAAGCAGAGTTTTTGGTATCGCAGAGCTGTGTAGCCATCACTCCCATCAATTATATTTATTTTTATTAATTATTTATTAATATTATTTTTTGGTGTTAGGAGGTTTGAACTCAGGACCTTGAACTTACTAGGCAAGCACTGTACTACTTGAGCCATGCCCCCTATCCTTTTTGCCTTAATTTTTTTTTTTCACATAGAGTCTCAAGCTGGGCTCAGATGGTAATTATCTTACCTCTGCCTCCTGAGTAGATGGAATTACAGGTGTGAGCCACTATGCCCGGCTCCATCGCCATTAATTTTAGAATATTTTCATCACCCCAAAAGAAATCCATACCCATTTATGGCCAATCCCAATATCTGCCCAGGTGCCTAACTACAAGTCTACTTGTCCCTAAGGATTTGTCCATTCTGGGCATTTCATACATACGGACCTTATAGCACATGGTATCCTATGACTCCCTTCTTTATAATAATGTTTGCAGTTGTAGCATGTCTTGGTACTAAATTCCTTATTATGGCCAAATATTCCATTGAATGGATATACCCTGTGTAACTCTCCATCCTTCAGCTGATGGATTCCTGGGTTGTTTCCACTTCTGACCTGTTCTAAGAGTAATGGCGCCATGAACATTCATGTAGAAGTTTTGTGAGATGCAGGTTTTCTTGAAAGTATAGTTAGGAGGGAAACAGTGGATCGTAGCGCACCCTGTAACATTTTGAGGACATGCCAAACTTTTCCACAATGACCACACTGTTTCCCACCCCCTGCCCCCTGTATGAGGACTCCAGTTTCTCCACATCTTTGTCAGCCACTTGCCACTGTCTTTTTTTATTTTAGCCATCTTTGTCAGTATGAGTGCAAATAAATTCCTTGGAAGGAGTTAAACATCCATGTGATCACACATCCTAGCAGAGTTAGGTACCAGGACCTGAAGAGGTTAAGGCCGAGGACAGGTGAATTGTGACGGGACATGAGACATAAGCATTGTCCTAGGTGTGGGGTGGGAGGGAAGGTGACACAACAGGAGGTCCCCACATGGTCTTTGTTCATGTTCCAACATTGCATAAAGGTAGGAGCAAGAGCCCAATGCTTTCTCTAAAGAGCAGATGTGTTATATTAAGGTTCTCCAGAGAAAACCAGATGGAGATTTCTACATACGTTAAAAAGGTCTAGTAGGCAGGCTGTCCCACAGTCTGCTGTCTGCAAGAGACCTGGAGCTTCCTGGAGGTGTAAATCAACCTAAGTCTGAAGGCCTGAGAATCAGAGGAGCCCATGGGGAAAACCCCAGACCAGGAAAGAAGAGATGAGATGTCCCAGCTGGGGGGAGTTCCTCCTGGCAACACCGTTTGTTCTGTTCCAGCCCACCACACTGGGAGGGCCATCCACTGAGATTCAACAGCTGATCTCATCCGGAAACAACCTCCCAGACACCCAGAAGTGCTGTGTACCTTGGGCATCCCAATGTCCATTCATCCACATACCAAACTGGCCATCACACATGACTTCCCACTCGTTTGAGGAAACTCATCCAGAAAGTAAAGGTGAACTACTAATGAGGCGAGACCCATGCATTCAACTCTAAACTGACTGACACCTGAGTATGGGAGGACTTATCATGGAGGAGACAGCAGAGAGAAGGCTGGCAGGGTAGATGGAGAAGAAAGTAGACAATTTCTGAAGATGAGAAGAGCCAGTGAGGAGGCTAGTCCTGAATGCATGAGAGAACAGATCTGGGTCTCTGGGAAGGCTCCCTGGAGGAGGAGGATACTTGCAGGTCCAAATCAGGCCCCTCCCCTAATGTCTACAATTGGGCCTTATAAACTTCAGAAAGGGAAGAATATTCTTTGTATAACAGGTATGCCAGAATTAAAATAGTGTCCATTTACAAAGCACTTAGCTCTGGCAGGTACTGTCACATGGTTTCATCTCATCCAAAGAAGCTTCAAGGTGTCAGGGCAGGTCCTGGGTCTCTTATGCACAGATGGAGTTCAGCGAGTAGGTGACTCAGGCCTCACCTACTCAGTGCCAGCTGAATTGTATCCCTGACTGAGCCCTGTGACGTGCCAGGCAGCCCCTCATTTCCTGACAACCCATCCATGTGGGTATCCCTAGAGTCGTTTCACAGGTGAAGAGTTAGAGCCTCAGGGATGTGAAACGACTTGGCCAGGGTCACACAGCTGGTAGATGTGGGCCAGGAAGTGGATATAGGCTTTCCAGGGGCCAATGGCCAATGTTTCCCCATCCCTGCCCCCACTGTTCCCCCACTACACCCTGCTGGTTCCTCCTGATGCCAAGGCACCTTCAGATGGAAACATTACCACAGAAGTCAGTCCCCAACTGCCAGGACAGCAATTTGGCTGCTGCTGGATTTTTCTCCACTCCAGCTCCACGGCCAGGTTTCAAAGAGAGGCACAGGTTTCAAAGCTCAGACTTTGGAGGACCAGCCCAAGTGAGAACCCAGCTCTCCCTTGCTGGCTTGTGACCTCAGGCTGGTCACTGACCTGGGCTTGGTTCCTTGTTTGAACATAACGGTGATAAGCAAACCCACCATCCTGTGTTTGGGTGTGAATATAAATCAGCTGTTACTGTGTGTCCTCGGGGAGGGTCTGGGCCACCTGTACAGTCCGCAGCTCTGCATGTCCCACCAAGCGTAGTGCCTACTAGATTTGAGGGTTGTGCCCATGGTAGTGACTAAACATATGAATCTCAGGCCTTGGCCAGGATGGGGACTGAGCCTCTGCAGGGAGCTCTGGATGTGCACCGATCAGTGTCACTAGTGACTCTTGGCCATCAGGTCATGCCCAGCACTGGTCACCACTGGCAGAAAGGAGTCCAGCTCTGAAAATGTCCACCTCCCAGGGGCTGCACAGGCCCTGCTGAGCCTGGTGCCCTGTTTTCAGGAGAGGTTGCCAGGACAAGGAGTGCCATCAGCCTCGGCAGTAGCATCAGGGAATGGTCTTGACATCCCTGGGAAGAGGGAGAACCTGCTGGAGGTTGCAGGGGAGAATTGAGGGTTTGGTGACAGTTGAGTGATTATGGCTGTATCTGTCTATGCCAAGGGGACAAGAGGAGCCTGCACACTGCTTACCCTACACAGCATCGTCCATCAACTGTGGTTGGGAGGTCTCCCATCTTCCTGGAAAAGGTAGGTAGGGGACAAGGTAGGTAGGTAGGAGCCAGGCCTGGGGAACCTGGCAGCTCACCTGAAGCTGTGATCCTGCCTCCTGCCAGCAGATGGAGACCTCCTGCAAGAGAGGCACCCAGAGGTCCAGCCACTGCCTGGGCAGGTGGGTGAGCCAAGGACTCCTGGTTAAGGCTGAAGCCAAGAAAAGCTTAGGGGCCCCAGAGCCACTCAGCTCAACTGCGGGGGTGGGACCCAGGCCTCTGGAACGACTGTCCAAGGTCAAGGTTATTTCCCTGTGTCTCTCAATCTGGAGAGTATGAGGTAAGGGAGAGATGCAGAGATCTGGAGGGAAGGGTGCATGACTCCCTCCCACCCACTAGGTCCCTGAGTGCAAGGGACTCCACTAAAATAGGGGACAGAAGCTCAAGATGCCCAAATGGCTTTGGCAACTGAGAAGACAGCTGCCAAAAGCAGAACTATGGCAGGAAACTTGTGTTCCGGAGAGGGGACTCTGCCCCTTTGTCACTAAAGGCTGGTGGGAAGGGAGATGGCAACCTCTCCTGTCCCTTGGGAAGTAGAACCTGCAGCCTGTCCCCAGATGGAACTCTGAGTACATCTCTCCTAATCTTCGGGGCCCTGCTCACTCCACTGCAGGGCTGATGGTGGGGACAGGTTTGTTGACAGGCTGACGCAGGTGGAAAGCCACCGCCTGCTCACATGACAGCAGTCACTTGATTTCTACTTGGGCCTGGGGGAGGGGCTAGAGCCAGAGTCAATGCCTTATTCTGAGATTGAAGGACCCCTGATTTGTCTCCTCTAGTTTTGGTGCCAGCAGCTTAGGATGCTGTGCTGTGTGTTTCTTGGGCTGTGTGTGGGTTTCTGAATCCAGTCATGTCACTCTCCTTACATGCCTGCCCTCTCTGTCCCAGGCACACCAGCTGCCTGTCTGCTCCTGGGATACATAAGCTCTCTTCTGCCACGGAATCTGGGCACAAAATAATTCCTCTGGCTGTAGTGACTTTCCTTCCAGTAGACCTGTGGCTCTCAGTTTAAATGTCGTCCCGCCAGCATTCTTCCCTGTTGAAAGTAGCTATCTGTTTGCTTTATTCTTAGATTCCAGCTGGGATCTCCTGGTCTCTTAGCTTCTATGGAACATCAGGCCATGACAGCCGAGGCGTTGGTCCTGTCTGATTCAATGCTGTGTCCTGTGCCAGCAACAGCCCCCAGGAGGTCCTCCAGATTCACTATGGGAGGCATTAGGAGACCTCCGGGCGGGGGGGAGATTTGACTTTGGAGGAGCCCTAGACATGTTGGGCTTCAAGTGCAGATGTGCAAGGATGGCTGCCTCTAAGCCGGGTAGTGTTCCACCCAGTGCTCAGCTACAGGCTGCTGCTGTGTGGGTCTCTCTGTGCCCGTCTTTGCCTTCCAGGGGAGCCTTTTATTTTAAATATCACTGCTTCACGGGCAGGGCTGTCAGGAAAGATGCTAAAATAATTGTTCTTTATCTAAAATTCAGATGGTTCTGAGGATCCCATATGGTTATGTGCTGTATCCAGCAGCCCTGTTTGGAGGACTAAGCCCCTCTACAATGTCCCTCTCTTCTGGGTCAGTGTGACAGGCTCTAGCTGTCACTGGGCATGCGCATCAGCCAGCCCTGGCCCTCAGCTGAGCAGCAGGGCCCCCGCTGCTCTTAACAGCTGCTCTTGCCTTGGATGCTGAGGTCATCCAATGTCAAGTGGGACTCTGAGGACTCTAAAGAATATTCAAGTGGTTCTTGTCCCTTGACGCCTACATCTTGGAATTATGGCTCTGACCTTTGCTTGGTGCATAAGACTTAATGTTTTTAAAAATAAGCAGCTTCCCTTTTTTGATATCTGATACAGAAACCAAATTTAGAGGGGTAAGGGAGAGGGCCTGTTTTGGTGTCAACTGGTAGAATGCTACAAAATAAGGTCATTCTTAGCAAGAAAGGGCCCCTACCGCTGCGGGTCCCTGCCTCTTCCCAGGAC